GGGGGAGCCCTAACGGGTTTGGCTCAGTGGACAGAGCATCGGCCTGCGGACTGAAGGGTCCCAATGTTTCCCGCTCATGCACATACAAAGCTAAGGGTTTCCTTATTTATTTCTTTATATTGTGAATCCTCACCAGAAGATGTTTTTCCATTGATTTTTAGAGAGAGTGGAAGGGAGGAGTAGAGACAGAGAAACATCGATGTGAGAGAGACACATTGACTGGTTGCTTCTCGTACACACCCCGACCGGGGCCAGGGATTGAGCCTGCCACCAACGTACGTGCCCTTGACCGGAATCGAACCCGAGTCCCTTCTGTCCGAGGGCTGGTGCTCTAAACACTGAGCAAAGAGGCCGGGCGGGTTTCCTTAAAAAAAAATACAAAAACCAAAAAGCAACTTGTGCTGGGCGCTGAGCCCATCACCCCTGGGACGGAGGACAGTGCTGTGTCCTGGGACAGCTGCTCCACAGGCAGGGGAGTCTCGGACCTCCCACTGCGCCCCTGGGGGAGCCGACTCTGTGCTTGCTCTGCCGGAACCAGAACTCAGGATAAGACCTCGACACCAACCCAGTCGGACTCCTCAGCAGGGACAGGACTCTGAGTTCTGTTCCAGTTTTGATGCAGAGCAGCCTCCATTCCACAAGTCATCAAGGACAAGTTCAAAATCGAATTCCTTGTGACAGGCAGAGGCTGATGGGTTATAAGAGCACCGCCCTGGCTGGGTGGCTCAGTTGGTTAGAGTGCGTCCCCATGCACCAAGGTTGAGGGTTTGGTCCTCGGTCAGGCAGGGCACAGACAAGAAGCAACCAATGAATGCATAAATGGAACAAACCGATGTTTCTTTCTCTCTCTCTCTCTCTCTCTCTCAAATCAATTAAAAAAAAACTTTTTAAAAGAGCCCTAGCCCGTCCGGCATGGCTCATTGGTTGAGCATCGACCTATGAACCAGGAGGTCACGGTTCAATTCCCCATCAGGGCACATGCCCAGGTTGCAGGTTGGATCCCCAGTGGGAGGCCTGCAGGAGGCAGCTGATGGATGATTCTCTCTCATCATTGATGTTTCTCTCTCTCTCTCTCTCTCTCTCCCTTCCTCTCTGAAATCAATAAAAACATTTAAAAAATAAAAAAGCCCTACCTCTTGGGTCATCCTGGCCAAACCAACTCATTTCTCTGGGCCTCCGTTTTCTTGCCGGTGAAATGAGTGGGTCTTGGCCACGTTCTCTCAAAGGTCCCTTTCAGCTCTAAACACTGTCATCCCATGAGGAGCCAGGTCAATGTGAAGATCAGATGAAGCGTGGGAGATGCCACTAGATGGGGGCACATGTGCAAGTTCACTCAGATTTCCAAGTACAAAGGTTCCGGTTCCTGTTTTCTGTGTTTCACCTTCAACATAAATAATTTGGTCCATTTGATGCAAAGATTTCTCGCGGGGCACATGTGCAAGTTCACTCAGATTTCCAAGTACACAAAGGTTCCGGGTTCCTGTTTTCTGTGTTTCGCCTTCAACATAAATAATTTGGTCCACTTGATGCAAAGATTTCTCGAATACAATATTTCCGACTAAAAATGAGTAACAATTAGGTAAAACTTTAAAAAATTGGTAGCGTGGAGAGGATTGTTTAAGACTACAGATATTGAGTATGTTGCTAAGAAAAACTTTTTGGTGCTGCTTTTTTAATATACTTTTATTCATTTCAGAGAGGAAGGGGGAGAGAGAGAGAGATAGAAACATCAATGATCAGAGAGAATCATTGATCAGCTGCCTCCTGCACGCCCCACACTGGGGATCGAGCCCGAAACCCGGGCATGTGCCCTGACCGGAATTGAACCGTGACCTCATGGTCCATAGGTCAACGCGGACTGGGCAAAAAAGTTTTAGTTTGGTCCATTACCCTTTCATCATCATCATCCAAGATCCATACTTATATCAGTATCCTTCGGGGAGCAGCGTTCCGGTGAACTGCCCACCCTAATTCCCATAGGTGAAGGAGGCGGCAGCCAACCACCGAAAACTCCACGCTCAGCAAAGCACGCTCCATTTCCTGATCGATAAAAGCTAAGTGATTTCAGAAAAAAAAAAAATTCACAAGTATGTACTTGTGCTTATTTTCATCTATTAACAAGCAAAACGTGTGCTTCCTTTAGTCACGATTAGCTAGAAGCAGTGGTTCTCAACCTTCCCAATTTCATTGTTACAAATTGAACATAATTAAAGCATAGTGATGAATCACAAAAAATGTAATTATATATGTGTTTTCCGATGGTCTTAGAGGCGACCCCTGTGAAAGGGTCGTTTGCCCCCCCAAAGGGGTCGCGACCCACAGGTTGAGAACCGCTGACTAGAGCGTGATTAAATTTCGAATGAGCCACAGCTTCACCCCAGCCGGTGCTCAAACGGCTCCAAGCACATGCATGTCCGCAGGGCTCATCCTCTGGCACAGAAGCAGCGAGGAGCAAGGCTCCGGCAGACGCTCTGCGGGGCGCAGGTTCGCCGTCTGGTCCCGGCTTTCACCTGGCACGACCCGGACGGACGCACTGCGGGAACCGGCGCCTCTCATTAGCAAGCCTTTATCCGACTGCCCAGCCCTGACACCTCGCCAAAGTCGCCGCCGGCCTCATCAGGGCCTGAGCCACGGAGGAGAGGGCGGCCAGGGGTCCCCTAAAGTCCTGCAGAAAGCCAGGAACGGAGCAGCTGGACGCGCACCAGCAGCTCAGGACTGGCGGGCGCTCCAGCTACTGGCGAGCCTCTCTCCTCTGCTGTCAAAATCCCCCTGCAACTCGGATGCCTCAGCCACATTTGTGTTTTGAGTCCATGGCTCCTGAAAGCAAGCAGGTACCTCTGTCCATCCTCAACACCTGCGCCCGTCCCAGAGGCGTCCCCATCCCAAACCCGGGCTCGCTGAGACTCGGGCAAAGGGGCCGCCCAGCGGGGTGACTGTGACCCTTCCAATCCCAACCCT